TTCCTTGATAACAGCATGACTGCTTTTATAAAGTACAATACCCATCTGTGATCTAAACTAAACTGTAGAAGATTCTATAATCTATCCTCTTTCTGATCTCATCACAGTTTGGCATCATTGCTCTAGAAGAGATTAGAAACTCTGATTTTTTTAAAGAATCCTTTAAGTCTTTCTGTTTCAGGTGTCCACTGTGAATTCTGATTTAGGGATCATCCTCCATGCAGGTTAAATTAATTAAGTCTGCCCTCAAAGAAGTATTTGGGGAATCAGGACATGCTAAAAAGGATTTTGATTACAGTTGCAGCCTTACCCCATTGGATATTTATCCTACACAGGTTAAATCCTTTAAGAGACTCTTACATTCTAGCTACCTTTCTTAACACCAAGCAGTTGTCCCAGGTATTAATACGTAATCCCTTTTCAGCCCCTTCTTCAGTCCTCTGTCTCTGCTCTTTCTGCAATAGCTCTTTATTCAATAGTTTCAGACTGTCACTGCAGCTGATGCCCAAGGAATTTGCCACTAGAAATAGGACGCCATGTCTGTGCTACACAGTAAAGCTTAGGGCAGAGGTGTCAGAGCCAGAAGAAGTGTAAGCATATCAGTGTGGTACTGGGTCCAACCAGGTGATTCCTGCTGAAAGGCAGTGCTCATTCTCTTGGGCACGTCCTATGCATGTGACTATCATCCTGCAGGGACACCAGCTGGAGTCCTTACACTATCCCGTGAAGCGCAAGGCAGGCAGCTTTTCTCAGCCCTGTGTCTGTGGTTGCTACTCCACACATCATTGTGCCATGCAGATATCCTTTTTACCTCCTTCATTCATTAATTCTCACATATTTTCCAGATCTGCTTGAAAATGTAGTTTTGTCCTTGCTTTCTTCTGGTTGCTTAAAGGGCAGAAAATATTCTTCTAATGCCTCCTTTCTATGACTTACAGTGTAGGACAAATTGTTTTTTAACAAGACCACAATCTGGTATACTCAAGGCCCTCTGGACATACGTGTATATGTGTTTGACCATTTGTGTTGTAATTACATGCTGTGTTCAGGCCATATTCCTTTTGCTTGTCTGTACAAGCCAAAATGCCAAACCAAGTGTTATTGTCAGCAGTGGAATCCCACAAGTTGCTCAATAAGGGAGTGCCTGGCTGTAAGGATTCCATGTGAAATGAGGGACGAAGAGAGGCAAATAAGGGCACAAGGTGTGGGGATACACCACATGCCCTAGTCTCCAAGGCATTCATCCTTTGCCCACACAGCAAGATCACCAGCAACCTGCTATATAGCAAATTATTACATAATATAGAATAGGTTAAATACAGCTTCCTTATAAAAGGACTGTCTGGCTTTCTAGCAACAGCCTAACTCTGTCTTCTACATATTCCTCCCTCTCCTGGCACCAGAGACCTGCCAGCCTGCTGTAGCTACGCCCACAAGCAGAAGCACCGTGCAAAAGTTGCTCATGTAGCAGCTGCTCCATCAAACTCACAAGCTCAGTTGCCACAACACTAGAGCAAATACTAAAATTTTACACTGCTGTGAGGAAATTATGAGGATGGGCCTTCTGTTCTTTCAAGTAATGCCTTCTGCAGAACGCCTCTAAGGAGAGCAAACTGTTCCTCTGATGTTTTAGAACAACCATTTGACTTTCACAGAGCTCTAGAGACAAAATAATGCACTTGGACCAGATAGGGCTGGATGCAACTGTAGTAACTGCTTTTGAGGTCTCAAAGGTACAGCACAGCCATTCTGCAAAAGCATGAAACCTCGGTAGGCTAATATAGCTATTACATCATTTTCGCACTTGAGAGTGAAAATTTTTACTTTCTTATTTCATGTCTTCAACACAGAAAATCAAAAAGCATCTTCACTCCCTGAGCAATCATGTTAAGCGTGGTACTGTTTGTGTGTCATTTATTTGGATCAGGAAGCCCTTACAGCAAATAAATTACAGCCAGCCAAGGTGAAACATGCTAATAAGGATTGCCTTAGAGGTTTCTCCCGAAGAAGCAGGCAATTCTTACATTGCAGATCTGAAGATAACTTCTGCTTTCCAACATACCGGCGCTCATCAGACTAGTTTGATGAATGCAACGAGTGTCAACCAGTGACACTTTGTGTAGTTACCACAGCTGCATGGGAGATTTTGTTTATTTTTTGTTGACAAATAACAGGATTTATTCCCTGGTTTCTCCATCAGAAACACCTCTTAAGATCTAGGATTCTTATTTGTGACCTTCAGAAATCTGTCCTCACCTTTACCATCGCATAGGGAATATCACGCATTAGAGACCTAACATTTCTTTTCTCCCTGAAAAGAGGTGCTTCACAAAATCTGAGAGTGTAATGCCACACAGCTAATCCTACAATAGTTTCAAGGAAACCTGAGACGATGACAAACAAATTATTTCATCACCATTCAGGATCTTTTCCTTATTACTCCGAACACGTCCATCCTAGGGACCAAGCTTTGTGTATGACTTCTGGACTAATATCCACAGCTGGATCTAGGCAGGTTGAAGACTGTGATATTTATAACACAAATGGATGGGTGAGTGAGGAAAAAGAAAAAAAAAAAAAAAGCCAAAAAAAACAAAAAGGAAAACAAAGCCACTCAATTTTCCTGCATAAATGCTTATATATATATGTATCTATGTATATATATTTCCAGTCATTGACACTTGCAAAAGCAAAGAGAAAAGGGAGGTGGCAGCCTGGAGTTCCCACTCACCAGTCAGCACAAGTATGTTCATCTTTCCTGACGTCTGACTTTTTTCTTGAGCCAAAGCTTCAATACTTAGCTACAAGGGCTGGGCATCCAAGGCTGCCCCAGTGCCCCCTAGTGAAAAAACAATAAAAGATGGACCTGATTTTATCCGGTATTGACTGTCCATTTCTACTGCAACCAACCACTGTTGGTAACTAAGGCAGGATCCTTTGTCATACTGGTTTGTAAACAATCTGGACTGCTAGTAAAAATGGAGATCATATGCAGAGCTGTCTTTCATTTCCATCAGACCAGGTCTTTGCTTTTCCATTGCAAAACTTAGATCAGGAATAGGATAAGACCTAAATGACTGAGGTTTAACCCAGAGTCAGTTGTTATTTGTGGAGGGGGGAAGAGCTCTGAGTGTGCAGAAGGGTGTGTCGTGCCTCAGTGCTCAAATTGCCTCTGAAGTTTCTAAGCAAATCAAATCTTAGGACAGTGCTCTGGCCTTCTAGATACTGCAAATTAGGATGGCATTGGTTGGGCTGACAGATAGATAGTTTAGTGGAGTGGAGGTTCTCTGACGTAACTATTATTGAAGGAATCATGCCTCTAAAACATTTGGAGCTGAATAGTCCCAACAGTTGTGGAGAAAAAATGTGGTTTCCTCCTCAGCAAATGTCTGTATACAGTGCTTGTGAGAACTGAACTCCTTATCACAACGGAGAATGAATCTTCTCTTCCCTCTGAAGTCTCAAAAAACAAACTCTAGAGTTTCCAAAATGAAAACAGTCTGCTTTCCCAAAAGGCATAATAGAATTCTGATGTTTTTCTTTAAATATTCATGGCAGTTAAATGGGCCTTTAATAGTTGCATGGATTCATTTGAGGGTTGTGTTGTTAATGAAAATAAGTGTTAGCAGAACTGAAGAACATCCTTATATTGCATAGAGATTATTCCATGGAAATGAACCTTTTTCTTTTTTTTCCATTTCAGAGGTAAGGTGATCTCATTCTTCCAAAAGGTAGGGTTGGGTTTTTTTAATATATACAGATTTAGTTCTGATTTTATCACCCTTTTATGTCACCTCTGAAAATGTGAACACTTACCCACAGAATTAAGAGATTTTATTATGAAAATTGGTGTCATTACCATCTATTATACAGTAAGAGAAAAGTAAGATATATGCAGGTATAATGACTCATCCAGTGTCATCCAAGAGACTGATGAAAACGTTGGGGAAAGAATCTGCCATTCTGAGTCCCAGGCCATTGCCCTGACAGTAAGCCCCACTAACTGCAAGGAGCAACTAAGCATTCATACAGCCCTAGCAGAATTGCATACCTCTTCATTGATTCATTCAGCTGTTGCCTCCCCTGTAAAATCAAAACCAAACCCAAACAGTAGACTAGAAAGAAATCAGCTATAGTTATAATGAGGAAGACATGGGTGATTGGGGTGGAGACAGGGGCACCTGAATGCTTGAGGTCTTAACAGACTCCAGTTCTTTTAAATATCTGGGAATTTCAATATCAGAACCAAAGAAATCTTTGGGGAGGTGTTTCTTTTCTCCACTTCAAGCAGCTACTGAACCCATGCCAAATACCGAGGAAAGAATAAAACAAAAAAGGGAAAGGACATCATCCCTAGCTTTTAAGCAAGCATCTCCTATACAATCCAACAGTCCCAAAACATTTCATACGTTACTGTCACACACTTGAACACAAATATGTCACAACTACATATTGTCATATTGGCAGCTGAAGCCTTATAACTTTCCTTATGTTCTATGTGCTAGTCTGTCAGTGTAACACCGTAGGCATTCCTAAGCACCTTTCAAAATCCAGGCATTGTTGTGTTTACTATTATGAGTTATCTGCCTGGTATTTGCCACCTGTGACTGCAAAGGCTTTTGCTTTAAGCTTTCATCATCTACGATTTTTATTAATGCAGGAGAAAAGGGAGAAAGAATGAGAAAGAAAAAATTAAGAAAATAATGTTGGCTTGGCTCTTGGGATATTTTATATATATTATTTATATTATAATACAATACATATAGCATTTTACCTTTATGCACTTATGCATGTGCATTTTTCTATTTGTCTATATAATTACTTAGCTGACCTGTTTAAAGGAGAAAAAGAATTTGAGAGTTGGAAGGGACAGATTATATATATATTTATATATACTACATATAAATATATGTATGTATATGTAGAATATAACATAATTTCAGACCAAATCTAAAAACTCAAAGTTTTCTACTAAATAGTTTTTCATGTTTAAATCTTACCTCTGTTCCATTTGTGGGTCACAGTGGCATGAGCACTGTAATAGAACAGCAGCAGCAGTAAAGTCTTCCAAAGCATCCTTCTCTTTAAAATACTTATGTCTAGCTGTATAGTAGCTTTTTTAATTTCCTAGTTCCTTTCTTTTCAGGAATAAATAAATGGCTTTTCCTTTCCCCCTCCCCCTTTGAAGGAGAACCTGTCTGTTCTGAGTACAGCTGAAGTCAGTGTGCAGCTCCACTCCCAAACCAAGTCTCCTCGGGATCAGGAAACTTACTTTCACAGACAGACTTTGTTTTTATCCACATCTGGAATGACTCATAGTGCATGTGAGTTTGCTGGCAGCTGTGTGAATAAATATCATTACATTTTTGTACTTGAGTTTCATTTGTTATACAGGCCAGTTGGAATTTATTTTTGTCCAATAAAGAGCCACAAGTAACTTCATTTAAGGACACTTTTGGATCCTAGCTCAGTAGCTACTGCTCTGTAATGCAGGGGGCTATGTGCTAACCCATGTCTAAAGTAAAGCCCTCATCTGGAATGATAAACAGCTTCCCTTGGATGCTAAAGTCAGGGAGTGGGGTATGTGCTCTGCAAGAACATTTTGCTACTGTGATTCATATAATCACTCCTTTACTAAGAACATAAAATGCCACACTTAGACCAGTTGGTCTTTTCAATCATTTGGCCAGTGAAGAGAACAGGAAGGTCCAAATCCTTAACTAGCTCTTCAATGACCCTAAAGGGAACATTAAGCAATCCTAAAGGACAATCTACAGTAGCCAGTCTGAGTGTGGAGAGGTGGTGCTGACAAGGCTACTGATAGAGGTCTCCTTGTTTGACCTTGACCCCAGGGAAGACAACACTGAAGTGTTTACCCCAGAGCAGCCCAGCGTGTAAGAAACTGCAGGTACCTACTGTCCCTGGCACAGCTGTAGCAGCAGCATTGAGGGGTCCTTTGTGGGAATACAACACTGGAATAAATAACAGCAAGTTACTGTTTGTTGGAACAGAATGACAAAAAATGAGTATTTAGCAGAATCAAGGGATAGGGGATACACCATGTGGTGCCTAGAAGTGATGAGTCTAATTCTCTTCTTTTATAGGTGAGTGTAAGCCAGGAGCAAATCCACAAACATGAATTTACACTGGTGTAAAAATGGCACATAAGAAAAGAGACTCCAGCTCAGAAGGTATAAATAGAAGAATTAAGGGAGAGGATCAAGAGCTGGAATGACAGAGGGCACTGTGGCTCAGAATTAATGGGCACTGGCAGGAAGGCACGGAGAAAACCTGTTCAGCTCCTATATGTCTCATGCCAACATCTGGCCTTAAGCCTGAGTCCCCTCATTCTTCTCTGTCCCAGCTTCAAGTAACACCAACTATGAAGGAAGGAGGAGGGTCAAATAAGGTTGTCCTCCTTAAGACAACTCCCCTTCTTTTCCTACATATACAGATTTTCCTGTGCTCAGGCTGCCTCAGGTTACTCCCACATTACAGCATATGAATGTAAGACAGTATTTTATATGCCAAGGAGATGACAAAAGGTGTAATTCAAGCAGAAGGTGGCTAAGTAACTGTTTTGCTATGTACTCTTTTTAACTGTAACATATTTAGGATGGGTCTGAATGGAACTTAAAGCTAAGAGTAGGCTCACTCATACTGTCTGGAAATTACGGAGCTGGAGTAAACTAGTTTAACGTTCCCTAGAGACGGGGAAAGAAAAGCAGATGACACAAGAAGATGATTATTCCTACTTAGCTCAGATAAGACACTTGGAACAGAATGAGTTGCTGCCTGGAGGAGGTGGATCCACTCATTAGAATGGCCAATACTGACGTGATGTACATCAAGACAATTTTCATCAAGAAGGTGCAACTTACTTACCCCATAATAAGGGGATAATGATCTGTTAATCACTGAGGACAAAACACTGTGGTGTAACTCCTACTGGAAAGACTTCAAACAGCAGGGAGGGCTTGAGGAAGTAGCCCTTAATTTTAGTAAACCACCTTAATAAAAATTATCTAGCAAGCAAACACAGTGGATATAAATGGCTTCCTTAATGTAGAATCATAGAATAGAATCATAGAATAGTTAGGGTTGGAAAGAAACTTAAGATCATCTAGTTCCAACCCCCCTGCCATGAGCAGGGACACCTCACACTAAACCATCTCGCCCAAGGCTTCGTTCAACCTGGCCTTGAACACAACCAGGGATGGAGCATTCACAACCTCCCTGGCAAACCCATTCCAGTGCCTCACCACCCTAACAAGAAAGAACTTCTTCCTTATATCCAGTCTAAACTTCCCCTGTTTAAGTTTCAACCCATTACCCCTTGTCCTGTCACTACAGTCCCTAATGAAGAGTCCCTCCCTTCAGATACTGGAAGGCTGCTATGAGGTCTCCACGCAGCCTTCTCTTCTCCAGGCTGAACAGCCCCAACTTTCTCAGCCTATCTTCATACAGGAGATGCTCAAGTCCCCTGATCATTCTCGTGGTCCTACTCTGAACTTGTTCCAACAGTTCCATGTCTTTTTTATGTTGAGGACACCAGAACTGCACATACCAGAATTGCATGTAACTACATCAGCCTAACTAACTACACTGGTATAATAAGTAATGTCATCAGGGTCTGTGAACAACATGTTTCAGAGTGAGACAAGGGAGAAGCAGCATTTGGGATGCGCATTGCAGGCTTGAGAAATGAAAGAAAGTTATGAGAAAACTTAAAATCCTGTGGGATAACAAAGGAACACATTTTCAGTGGGTTTGGGGGATGAAGGGATGGAAACTCTTCTGAAATTCTGTACGATTTCATTGTTTACATCTAAGAAAACAGCAGCTGATAGAAGAGAATGAAGGAGCATAGACAGGCTCCATCAGCCTCTAAACCAGAATCAGAACTATTTTGCAGAAAGAGCTCTGCAGAATGGCTGTACCTCCTGGCTGTTCATTGTCGCTTCTGGCCTAGAAATGGAGAGGAGAAAAATCCCAGGTATTTCCTTCCCTAATCTTCCCTTCCATGTCCAGCCTCTGGAGCAAGTACCCTTGGAGCAACAGAGGAACAGCAACTGAGAACGATGGAAGAGATGTGTGAGAATATTGGCATACAGCTCAAAGGGGTATGAGAGTATAAAATTACTACTGCTCTCTCCTTTTTGAGACCCTAGAAGTACTGCTTGGAATCTATATTATATGTGATTTTTTAATTATTATTATGCATTTCTCCTTTATCTGAGTCAGGCTACAGAATCCTCTCTAGCAGCCTTTTCCTTATCTGAGCTCAAATACAAACTCTCCCTGTCTGTGGTTCAAGGCCACACTCCTCAGCACAGTCATCAGGAATTCCGGCTTTGACTGCCTCCCTGCATGTACCACAACTGAAGGGCAAATTTTACTTTAAGACTCTGAATCATGCACTCACACCTTTTTTCTTACAGGAAATGCAGCTGTAAATACAACAGGTCCATGTAAAATAAGAAATGGCTTCCCTGTGGCATCTCCCTGAGAAGTGTAAATACCCCTCAAACCTGTAGATCTTTTTCTCTCCCATATGGATGCATACACAGAAAATCATATCCTTCCTAGTAGAAAGCCCTCCAGCTGAAGCCAGGAAATAAATCTTACAAACATGCTCAGGGCATTTCATCTATACAGCTTCTATTTATCTCATTATTATATTTTACTAGATAGTTGCTCAGTTTAAGCTAAAGGCATTTTCTGCCTATGCTGGAGGTTTGGATCATTTCAACTATAATGAATGCTAAAGCAGGGTAGAAATCCTCATTAAATATTGAACACTTTCAGATTACTTTGGTTGACAAGAAGCTCAACATGAGCTGGCAGTGTGCGATTGCACCTCAGAAAACCAACCATGTCTTAGGTTGCATCAGAAGGAGCAGGAGCAGCGCATTGAAGGAGGTGATTCTGCCCTTCAATTCTGCTCTCACTCAAGTACCCACTTGGAGTACAGCATTTAGCTGAGGCCCTTAACACAAGGAGGATGTAGACCTGTTGGAGCAAGTCCAGAGGAGGCCACAAAGGTGATACAAGGGCTGGAGCACTTCTATGGAGGCAGGCTGAGAGAGCTGGGCTTGTTCAGCCTGGAGAAGGCTCTGGGGACACCTTATAGCAGCCTTCCAGTACCTAAAGAGGCCTACAAGAAAGCTGGAGAGGGACTTTTCAGAAAAGCACGCAGTGACAGGATGAGGGGTAACTACTTCAAACTGAAAGAGGGGAGAATTAGGTTAGATATAAGGAAAAAGCTCTTCACTGTGAGGGTGGTCAGACACCAGCATAGGCTGCCCAGAGAAGCCGTAACTGCCCCATCTCTGGCAATGTTCAAGGCCAGGCTTATCTACAGATCATGATCTTTTCCAATCCAAGCTGCAAGCCAGTGCTCCTAGTACTTGCTAGACCTTTCAGGCACAGGAAAGATGTGACTGCTGCCTCTGCAAGCTGTTTGAGGTGAAAATGGACATCTATGCCATTCTCAGTGATATGATTAGATACTAGGGGAGCAGCTATTCCATTTGATTCCCCCATCCTGATGCTCTCAGTGTCTGTAGATACTGCTACTCCCACACAGTCTTTTTAAGAACCTGGAAATAGGGCACGCAGGAAAGAAGTGGGTGAAGACTGAACAGGAAAGCTGCCAGCTGCCTTTTTGCAGCCCATGCAGAGTGACAGCAGACAGCTGGTACTCCAAAGCTGGCCTTTTCATCACAGGTGCTGTCATAGGACAACTTCAGCAGGCTGGGAGTTCAGAAACCCTGTATTTCCCAAGGGATGCTCTGGAGCAACCAGTGCTTCAGGGGAGGTGCCCTTACGTGTTCTCTTCAGTAGCTCATTGTGTGAAATAACTTAAAATCTAAAAAAAGAATAGAGAAGCAAAGGGTGATCCAAGATCAGCAGCCTGTGGGTATTCCAAGAAAAATAATCTCTTTTTCACTGGAGAATACCAGCCCATGATGTCAGTTTAGCTTTGGCTTTGATGAGCTTCTGCGAAACCCAAGGCGGGGTTCCATTTCTGCCCTGACACCTCAGTAGCTGTGAGAGTCCCTTGCAAATCTTCTGTCAAACAGATATGTTCTTAGATTTGCCCTGTTTCAATTAGAAAACAGTATGTGTGGGGAGGAAGTTCCTCTGAACCAGAAACTTCTCTGCAGCCAGAGCCCTGCCTTGCACCATAGGCAATACAGCATCTGCCTGCTAGTATGCCAGCACAGTGGAACAATATTGATGCATGACACAGACATTGGTCTCCTTCCCACCACAGAGATGTATAAATGGAGACATACACGCAAAGTGACTCAGCCACTGAATGAATTCATGGTAGAGCTGGAAATAGAAACCAAAAGCTGATCCCCTCCTATGCCCCAAATACAAGACCCTAGTCTGGCACTGCAGCAGCTCACACAGCACTGGTGCTATCTACCAAAAAAGAGAAAGTAGCTTTCAGAAGAGGCCAAGAAATACCCTCATAACTAGGAGCA